ACCTCCCTCTCCCTCTCTCCTTCCCTGACCCTCCCTCCCCTCCCTCTCGCCCTCTCCCTCCCTCCCTCCCCTCTCCCTCCCTTCTGCCTCCCTTCCCTCCCTCACCTCCCTCTCCACCCTCCCTCTCCTCCCTCTCCCTCCCTCCCTACCTCCCTCACCCTCCTCTCTCTCCCTGACCCTTCCTCTCCCCCCTCACCCTCACCCTCCCTCTCTCCTACCCTCCCCATCTCCCTCTCACTCCCTCCCTCCTCACCCTACCCCCTCCCCTCCTCCCTCACCTCCCTCTCTCCCATCCTCCCTCTCCCTCCCTCCCTCACCCCCCCTCTCTCTCCCTCACCTCACCCTCCCTCTCTCCTAAAGCTTAAAAATATCGAGTGACGTAACTGGCCTTGGACGTGAAGTCGCCGGGAAGGTCGTTCGGCCGAGTCTTTGTCCTGCTCCTCCTCGGGTCGTGTTTGAGGAAGTCGGACGGGGTTCTGCGTGCGGCTGGAGACGTTGGTGTCGAGAGGTGGTGAGTCTGATGAGTGACTCTGATGGTGAGGCTGATGGGTGAGTCTGATGGTGAGTCTGATGGGTGACTCTGATGGTGAGGCTAATAGTGAGTCTAAGTGGTGAGGCTAATAATGATTCTGATGGTGAGGCTTTGTGATAGCGAGTCTACATGGCGAGGCTTTGTGATAATGTCTAAATGGTGAGGCTTTGTAATAGCGAGTCCAAATGGTGACTCTGATTCTGGGTCTAAACGGTGTCTCTTTCTAATGGTGAGTCTAAATGGTGGCTCTCTGTAATGGTGAGTCCAAAGGGTGACGACTCTAATGGTGAGTCTAAATGGCGATTCCTTGTAAAAATGAGTCTTAATAGTAGCTGCACGAGACGATTCAGAGGCGGTGGCCATGGGACGCCAATCGGCCACGCCAAAGAGAGCGTTTCCTGCGACATTTCCTCGCGTCGAAAGCCAAGCGGGATGGCGAGGAAGGACGCGTGCATGCTGCATGATTGTCCTTGCAGCTGTTGACAGCCGGGCGCTCACGCAACAGCCCGCCTCCGCCGCTGCCCTTCGATGCACAGCGACCCCCAGACCTTCCAAAACCTTCCTCCCAAAACCCTTTTTCAAACCCCGCCGCCCTCCCCTTCAGCCCCCACCCCCCCACCCCCACCCCCCCCCCCCAGACGCCGCACATGACAACAGCTTCCCCGAGGCGTCGCTTCCGCAGAGATCGCGGCCGCCAGATGCTACTGCGATAACCCGGCCGCATGTCTGGCCAAGCGACTAACGTTGGCGAGCCTCGGCAAGGGCAGGAGGAGGAGGAGGAGGGGATGGAGGAAGAGGAGGAGGTTGAGGAAGAAGGAGGAGGAGGAGGAGGAGGCGGAGGAGCAGCGCGCGAGGGAGGGAGGAGGGCCGTCAGTAGGGCTACGTGCAGGCTAGCCGTCGGGTGCAGCGGGAGACGCGCGCGGGAGCACGAGGGAGCTGGTCGGCCGCTGTGGCCTCGCGTTCGACGGTGCGGGAGTCGGAGCGCGGGAGCTGTGGGTACTGCGAGCGTCGGGGAGAAGGGAGAGAGGACGAGATAAAAGGAGAAGAGGAGGAGGAGGAGGAGAGGAGGAGAAAAGAGAGGAGAAGGAGGAGAGGGAGGAGGAGAGAGAGAGGAGAAGAGAACGGAGGAGGAGGAGGACGAGAGAAAAGGAGAGGAGAGTGGAGGAGGAGGACAAGAGAAAAGGAGAAGAGAGCGGAGGAGGAGGAGGACGACAAGAGAAAGGATAAGAGAGTGGAGGAGGAGGAGGAGGACTAGCAAAGAGAGAAAGAGGTAGACGAATAGACTTGCCAGACTGGTCGACAGGTAGAAAGTCTGTCAGGCAATTTCTACGCGAGTAAATGATCCAGCAAACGATTTCCATATTCATTTGAACTTTGATTCAGTGACTTTTATCGCCGCTGTTGTTCACATGACCCCGTAGCGCGTCCAGAGAGAGCGGCAGGTACCCCTCGAAAAATTCCTCATGGGTTCCGCTCCGTTCAGAACTGTTCATGCACAAGGGATGTCTACACGTTTCGCGAAACCCCCCCCCCCCTCCCCCCACTCCTCTTCCTTTCGCTTTCCTCAGGGACAGGTTTTCGATATGGCTATGTCAGAACGGCCAAAGTCGTACATATATGTATATGTATATATGTCTATATATATATATATATATATATATATATATATATATATATATATAATAATTGATGAATTTATCTTATTTACGAAGCATTTTACATAGCCATTAAATCCGTCTGAAGAAAACGGATTTGTCAAGCGCTGTAGTCGGGAAAAAAAATAAATATTGTGACACCAAACAGCAGTGTCGTTTGTGCCTCCTTAGCCTCTGCTGTGAAATTAGTGCTGTTCAGTGACTTCTCGGTGCTGTCAGACCCCGTGATTTGCGTTGGAAGAAAAACACAGTATTCTGCAACACGTAATTTCGTATATATAATGATTATATGCAATTTACAGTGCCGTGGGTCTTGAACACGTAAGTACTGTGACTCACACATAAGGAAAAAATGGTTATATGTCTCAGCTGTAATGAAAATCACACACACACAGACACACACACACACACACACACACACACACACACACAACACACACAACACACACACACACACACACACACACACACACACACACACAGAGAGAGAGAGAGAGAGAGAAACCGACAGAGAGAAAGAGGGAGAAAGAGAGAGACAGACAGAGAGAGAGAGGGAGAAAGATTTTTTTTTTAACGTGTCTCCCTTTACTTGGCACTCTCTGCTCCCCAGCACTCAAAGGCATTTTAAAAAGAACTTCAAAGAACAGGCATCTGACCAAGAATATATTAGTGACAGTGATATGAATAAGCAAAGAACAATGAGTGTCACTCGCCACACTCATCAGGAACTTGTCTGCAAAATATTCTGTCTTTGTTTACAGTAAATAAGTACATGCTTTTGAGTGTGTTCATCCTCGTGTTCTTTGTGTTTGTTCATGTCTTGAGGAGTTATGGTCTGCTTGGGTTAGCGTCGGCGAGTCTCCAGTGAGGTTCATTTAAATGAGTCTGTATATGTACACGCACGCACACACACACACACACACACACACACACACACACACACACACACACACACACACACACACACACACACACACACACACACACACACACACACACACACACTATACATATATATATATATAATATATATATATATATATATATATATATATTATATATATATATATATATATATATATATATATATATATATAGTATATATATATAGCATATATGTATGTATTGTACCGTTTTGCTTGAATATGCGCCTGTGTATGTGTAGATTATATATGCGCGTGTGTCTGTCTGTACCTGCCTGTCTATCCGCGTGCATCTCTCTCTTCAGACCTATTTTCGTCGCGGTCGGCTCGCGGAACGCCCTGAATGAAAGCGTAGACCCGCGATAAATGAAACCCGAACGCCCGAGCGGAGAGGCTGGAGTAGAACACAATATTTACAGCCGGGAGGGGGAGGGGAGGGGGAAGGGGGAAGGGGGGGAAGGGGGGGTCAGTCAAGTGGCAGCTGCGTGTGAGACGTAGCGGGGGGATTTCAGTGGATTTCTGCCTTTTTCCCCTTTTCTTTTCCTTTTTTTTTTTTGCTACGGCTATCTTGCTTATCTATCCGTCTATCCGTGCACGTATTTGTCTGTCTTTATGCATTATTTCCCCTTTCGAGAGAGAGAGAGATAAATGATGTTTGTATATATTTATATACGTATACATATATGTGTTAGTATGTGTGTGTGTGCAATATACACACACTTCTGCGTACACGTGTAAGTGTCGGTGCACCAGCGGTCCCTCAATCGAACACCGTTGATAGCTCGCCCAGTGAAACCAGTCGTGTTCAACCTGCCGTGTTCATCATCATTCTCGCCTCCCTGTGCTCAGGACCTTAAAACTGCCATCAAGTGAAAATATTACCTAAAAGAAAAAAGAAAAGAACAAAAAAGTGAGTGAGATAATAAATAATGGAAGGACCAGGAAGATGAATAAATATACACAAAGGAAAAGGAGAAAACTAGAAAGAGGTTTGCGATCGTGAACTCCTAAGACCGTTGAAATCTGCGGTGCCAAGTGTTGCCAAGGTGACCCTGAGGATTAAGGTGCGCTGCCTCAAGGTGAGCATCTGTTGCACCTGGTCGTCCCTTTGCAACATCTTCATTAATCCCCATCAATTGCCACGACGAGTGTGCCTTTTCGCGACTATAATCTATCATTTTAAATCTTTGGTGAAAAATACCGAAAAAAAATTATACTTCCGTTTTCACGAGTCTGTGTCAAGTAGGTTTTGAGTTTATTGCTAAATCTAATATAATTGAATGTAGTTTTTTCCCCCCCTTTCTTCTTTCAAGCTTCGTTTTGCTTTCTCGCTGTCTCTGTCTTTCTTCTTTTTTTTATTTCTCCCTGTTACGGTCCTTGTGTTTTTTTTTTTTTTTTCTGTTTCATATATCTATTCAATATCATTCTTTTTTTTTAATCTATTTAAACGTATATTGGTTATCTCTCTAGCCAGGCATTTATTTATTTATCTGTATTTCTCTTTCTCCTTTTCTCTCTTTTCTTCTTCTTCCTCTATAGCATTTCCATATCTTCGCCTTCCCATCTTTCCACCTATCACAAGACTCCCCCACTTCGACTCCTCCCCTTTCTTGTCAATTGGCCAATCAACTCCACAAATCCTCTACAAGCCCCGCCTACTTCGAGCAGAAACGTTTCTGAAGCCCCGACCACTTCGAGAAAAAAACGTTTCTCCAAGCGAATAAAGTTCTGAAGGTCCGCCCACGTGGAGGGAAAACGTTTCTGAAACCCCTCTATCGAAAGGAATACTGCAGACTCCGCTTGCATCATCATAGAAGCTTTGCAGACTCCGCCCACCTCCTGCAAAGGGAGGAAATGAAGCTGTTGGTGGTTTTAGCAATGTGTGCCTGCGCGGTAAGTACGATACCTTATCTTTATCTTTATCATTGTTTTCGTTCTTCTAATGTTTATCATAATCATCTTATGAAATAATTATGATCACTATCACATTTATTGTTGTTATTTTCATCATATTCATTATTGGTAATGATATCATCACCTTCATCTTCGTTATTATGATTATCATCATCATCATTCTCCTTATCACACTTCTTATCCTCATCATTATTCATTGTCATAGTCTTTACTAACATCATCATTGTCATTATTATGGATAACACTATCATTACCATTATTATAGGTAATAATATATTGAACATCATTATTATCATTATTATATTTTTTCACTGTTACCCCTCTCCATCAACATCATCTTCGTTATCATTATTATCACCATTATCATCGTCACTGTCACTATCATAATCACTACCATTTTGTTATATTCATTATCATCATCTAAGCCATGTCACCCAATGCATGATAATCAGAATCTTAATTGGATCATATTTTATCTTATCATTCGTTATCAGTTAATGAATTCATGCACATTATCAGTTGCATAGTGTTCATGATGTGGGCATGTCGACAGGGCTTTTTTTACAGCATTATTATTATCATCTTTAAGCGGGGAAGGTTTTATGTTGTTTAGTCTCTCTCTCTCTCTCTCTCTCTCTCTCTCTCTCTCTCTCTCTCTCTCTCTCTCTCTCTCTCTCTCTCTCTCTCTCTCTCTCTCTCTCTCTCTCTCTCTCTCTCTCTCTCTGCTCTGTGTGTGTGTGTGTGTGTGTGTGTGTGTGTGTGTGTGTGTGTGTGTCTGTCTTTCTCTCTCTTCTCTCTCTCTCGTCTCTCTCTCTCTCTTTCTCTCTCTCTTTCTCTCTCTCCTTCTCTCTCTCTCTCTCGTCTGCTCCTCTCTCTCTCTCTCTCTCCCTCTCTCTTCTCTCCTCTCTCTCTCTCCCTCTCTCTCCCTCTCCCTCTCTCCACTCTCCACATCGCCCCTCGAGAGACGATCACCCCCCCCCTCCTCTGCCCCGCCCATCTCTCACGCCCTCGAAGGCAGTCCAACTCGGGCTGTGACATCATGGGCGGCGAGCTGTCTCAGGGCGTTTGTAAGAACTTAGGAGAAAAATGTGTGTTTTTTCTGTATTTATTTCTGCATTTCTTGCTTCTCTGACTCTTTCTCTCTCTCTACTTTCTCTCTTTCTCTCTCTCTCTCTCTCTCTCTCTCTATATCTCTCTCTCTCTTCTATCTATCTTATCTATCTATCTATATCTATTCTATCTATCTATCTATCTATCTATCTATCTATTATCTATCTATCTATTATTCCTATCTATCTATCTCTCTCTCTCTCTCTCTTCTCTCTCTCTCTCTCTCTCTCTCTCTCTCTCTCTTCTCTCTCTCTCTCTCTCTCTCTCTCTCTCCTCTATCTTCTCTCTCTCTCTCTCTCTCTCTCTCTCTCTCTCGCTCTTCTCTCTCTGTCTGTCTGGTGTGTCGTGGTGTGTGTTTGTGTTGTGTGTATGTGTGTGTGTGTGTGTGGTGCAAATGTATGTGTGGCACATACACTACACACACACAGCAGAGACCGACAGAGAGAGAGGAGAGAGAGAGAGAGACAGAAGAGAGAGAGAGAGAGCAGAGAGAGAGAGAGAGAGAGAGAGAGAGAGAGAGAGAGAGAGAGAGAGAGAGAGACACGAAGAGAGAGACAGGAGAGAGGAGAGAGAGAGAGAGAGAGGAGAGAGAGAGAGAGAGAGGAGAGAGAGAGCAGAGAGAGAAGAGGAGGGAGAGACAGAGGACAGAGACAGACAGAGAGGAGGATGAGAGAAGCAGTTGTAATATATAGTAGTGCGGAAGTAAGGGACGGTCCCACCCCACAACTATTATTCTTCTTCTTCTTCTTCTTTCTTGGTTTTTTGGTGGCAGAGCGGGGTGAGCGGTAAGGCTAACTAACGGTAAGGTACTGAGACTAAGTAAAGCTACTGCAGTTAAAGTCTGTCAGCAGGTTTCGTTGCCTTTAAAGTTCTGGGCAGTTTCTGGCCTTTATTCACGAGGGGCAGAGGGGGCAGGGCAGGAGCACGAGCGAGGTGGAGCGGGTCTGAGTGTATGGCACAGGAATTGCCATGAACAATGTTCGTTTTAAACAATATACAATGGAAAAAAAACATGAAAGAATATGGATGAACATAAATTCAGAAACATCGGTTCACATGACCGTTTCGTGGAGAGGAACAGAGGGTATGCGTTGAACATAAAGTGGGCATGTTTTTTTTAAAAATCCGAACAGGTGTGGTTATGGACAGACTGGCTGGACTATATACATGAAACATAGAACATTGGAATATCAATGGTAAAAATCGTTACATACATCGTGATTCAGAAGATCAAGCATTTTATTAAGAAACATTTTGAGTATAACATGACATAGTTAATACATGAAGGACAAAGAATAAAAAGCACTGAAAAATGTATGAGAGTAATAAGGGGTCAGATTAGCGTGTTCTACGGTCACTATCGTCAATTGTCGGGCACTCTGGAATCTCGCTGGAAATAAACACACGCTTTTGCGGTCTGCGAGGGAGCAGGTCACCACCTAGAGCCCCGGAGCAAGAGAGAGAGAGAGAGAGAGAGAGAGAGAGAGAGAGCGAGAGAGAGAGACAGAGAGAGAGAGAGAGAGAGAGAGAAAGAGAGAGGGAGGAAGAGAAACAGAGAGAGAGAAGAAAGGAGAAACAGGCCGGAGAGAAGAGAAAAGAAGAAACAGATAGAGAGGGAAAAGAAACAGAAGAGAGACGGAAGAGAGAGGAGCCGGCGAGAGAGAGAGAGAGAGAGAGAGAAGAGAGAGAAGAGATAGAGAGAGAGAGAGGAGGAGAAAGAGAGGAGAGAGGAGAGAGAGAAAGAGAAGAGAGAGAAAGAAGAAAGAGAGAGGAGAAATAACCGAGAGAGAGAGAGAAAACAGAGAGAGAGAGAGAGAGAGAGAGAGACGAGGCCTGAGCAAATTAAGACGCGCGCACGCGACCGACGGGCCCAGCTGCCGACACCGGACGTCTCCTGCCAAATGCCAAAGAGTGTCATTCATGCCGTTCGTTCGTTCGTGCCGTTCGTCGTTCGTTCGTCGTGCCGGTTCCCCAGTGCATGTGGATGAACGTCACAACCAGCTCGNTGCCGAGGAGCCAGGTCACTAAGAGAGAGAGGAGAGAGAACAGTGAGCCGAGGAGGAGAGGAGAGAGAAAGAGAGAGAGAGAGAGATTGAGGAGAGAGAGAGAGAGAGACGTGACGAGAGAGAGAGAGAGAGAGAGAGAGAAGAGAAGAGAATAAAGAGATAGAGAGCGAGAGGAGTGACGAGAGAAACAGGAGCCGAGAGAGAGAGAGAGAGAGAAACAGAAACAGAGAGAGACGAGGAAAGAGAAACAGGAGAGCCAGATGAGAGAGAGAAAGAGACGAGAGAGAGAGAGAGACGAGGCCTGAGGCAATTAAGACGCGCGCACGCGACCGACGGTGCCCAGCTTGCCGCCACACGTCTCCTGCCAAATGCCAAAGAGTGTCATTCATTGCCGTTCGTTCGCCGTTTCGCTGCCGTTCGTCCGCTGCCAGTTCCCCAGCTGCATGCGATGACGTCACAACCAGCTCGTTCTTCGTGGTGTGTTTACATCGTTGCGTTGTAGACTTGTTTTTTTTTTTTTTTTCGTTTTATTTTATTTATTTTTTTTTTGGAGATATATAAACGTCACTTTCATGTGTCAAGGTCGTTAGGGTTTGTTGTGTGTGTGTGAGGGGGGTACGGGGGGGGATTGGGAGGTGGTTTGTGTGTGTAGGGGGTGGGTGGGGGGGGGAAGGGATGGATGGTTGGGGGATTGTTGTGTGTGTGTGTGTGCGTGGTGTGTTGTGTGTGTTGTGTGTGTGTGTGTGTGTGTGTGTGTTGTGTGTTGTGTGTGTGTGTGTGATGTCTGTGTGTGATTGCGTTCTGCGTGTGTGTGCGTGGCGTGTATGGGTTGGTTGTGTATGTTTGAGTCTATATGTGCGCGCGCGTGTGTTAGTATGTATAAGTAAAACATATATGCCTCTGTCTGTTTGACATTTGACTCCACGTGCGCGAATGTGTGTGACTTGCTTCGTCCCGCCATTAAAAGCGATCCCAATTTTAATTACCATAATAGACAGAGAATTTGAAACGCCCAATAAGAGGATTGAATATGTCTCAAATGAGCGTGTTTTCCTGCGGGCGTGTCTGCAGTGGGGCGTGAAGGGAACCACTGTTTGTCTTTTTGCCGAACCTCGTTTTTAACCGCTCTCTCTCTCTCTCTCTCTCTCTCTCTCTCTCTCTCTTCTCTCTCTCTCTCTCTCTCTCTCCTCTCCTCTCTCTTCTCTCTTCTCTCTCTCTCTCTCTCTCTCTCTCTCTCTTTCTCTCTCTCTTCTCTCTCTCTCTCTATGAATCTATCTTTGTATTTCGTGTCTTCTGGATTTATCTATCTACTTATGAAACTATCTATGAATCTTTGTATCTATCTTGTCTTCGGCTTTCCTGAGTCCATAGTGAATCTTATCTTCGAATCCATTAATCTATCTTGTATTTAGTTTATCTGATTCCATCAATTATCTGTCTATCTCTCTATGAATCTGTCTGCGAATCCATCAATCTATCTTGTCTTTAGTGTATCTGATTCCGATCAGTTATATATATAATATATATATATATATATATATATATATATATATATATATATATATATATATATATAGCTCCTTATAAATCTATTTGCGAATCCAACTCTCTATCTTGTATATAGTATATGTAATTCCGTCAATTATCTATCTCTCTCTCTATGAATCTATATGCGAATCCAACTCTGTATCTTGTCTTTAGTATATCTGATTCCGTCAATTATCTATCTATTCTTTTCATGAATCTCTTCTACGAATCCATCAATCTATCTTGTATCTAGTGTATCTGATTCCTCACGTTATATCTCTCTATCTCTTTATGGTTCTCTCAACGAATCCAACTCTATCTTGACTTTAGTAT